GCCTGCGATGAAAACACAGGATCCTCACACACTAACATACCTCTTTCTACAGAAGCAAATCCCTTTCTCCTATCTTTGCTTTTTTTTTAATACAGCAGTAACTGCTCGAGTTTCTCACATTGCTTGTTTGATGGCTGCTCCCATCCTTCTGCAAGCCTGCACGAGACAAAACTGCAACCCAAGTGTTAAGATTCTTTATGGAAGTATTTCTACTCAATGCCATAAAATGCTTCAAGCACCTGTAATTAAACAGTCTGGAGATAGATCTGCTAGTTAGTACGTTCAAAAAATTTGACAGTCTTTCAAAGAGAAGAAAAAAAGAGGACAATTGTTCAATATTAAGTCTTTACTGCCACAAAAATGAAGCTATCTCGTTCTGCAACAGCCCCCAGGGAACTGCCAGTAACTGGGGACTCAAGGAGGAGAGAAAGTCTGTGGCTCACGTTTGGGTTTGGTGGATTTGAGGGGGTGGAGTGGTGAGGGGGTTTTGTTTCTCTAAGATACTGCAACTTTTGAACACAGGTTTTCGTGGCATTTAGAACCTCTCCATGGGATTCGCTGTGTTTTGGTACTTTGGCTGTGGCAGTAGATGTGATCAGCATATGTAACCACCTGCCTCATCAGAAATCTATAAGCAGCAAATTGCTTTCCAAGCATTTCAAAATTGGAATGTAAAGATGTGGAACAGCAATTATTAAAACAAGATGTTAATATGAGAGCAGACAATCTCTTTTTATAAAACATGTAATTTAATCCACGAATTATCTGGAGTCTGTTTAATGGGCACCACTCACTTGACTATGCAGGGGACAGTGAGCTACGCCAAGCATGCTGCTGGCGCTAAGGCCGGTACGGAGGGAGCGTGGGAAGGACAGCAGACACTCTGCCTGGTGCGCTCCCAAGGTTTCTACGGAGGATGAGCTACCTGGACCAGCAGAGGAGAGCGCAGCCAGTACGAGCTCAGAGCGAGCCCTGCCTTACAGATGGGAGAACAGGTCCTGCGTGCCCACAGCGGGGAGGTGCAGGTCTACCCTGCCCCTGCAAGCCACTTCCCAGGAGACCATCGCTCTCAAGGGCAACGGGCTCCAGCCTTTGCTGGCAGAAGCAAACACCCAACCTGATGGAAATTCTAATCCTAATTTTCTGAAATTCCCAGCCTGACTGCAATTTGGTTAGAAGTCTATAGATGAACTTCACAGTGGCTTTAAAGAAGGAGAAAGTCAACACAGAGCTGGTAAAGCAGCCGCAAGTGACAGCAGACTGCCACATCAAGACGCTGGGGCAATACTCTTTCCTTTCAAGAGCTGTATTCGGACATTTTCACTGTTGCTTTCTAAACACCTACAGCTTGTATGATCAGAAACACTCCCATGGCTAAGCTCTCTTCTCAGACATCTTTAATTCAAAATACTGTTACAAAACAGCTTTCACAGGCTCCCAAAGCAAGCACTTCTTGGAAGCAGAACTCAGAAGGCAGAGTTACAAGTGAGGATCCAGGTTTTCGAGTCGAGATAAACAAAATCTTTCACTAATTTACCATTGGCAAGCTCTGTGTTTAGCAAGAAGGCAAAGAAAACTTTCCCACAGCACTCTGCTAGGCAAATGGAAGCACAGGCAACTATTCCAAGCATTTCACAGCAGTACTTTTCCATTCCATTATGAAAGACATCTTAAGCATTTTTTAAAAACATTTAACTGTAGTGATGGAGAACTTCTGTTCCTTCATCTCAACCCACCACAGACTGGCCTGTCTTCCCCCACCACCTAAGCAAGGGATGAAGGTGCAGGACTGCAGGTAACTCCTGCAGATGCTGGGCAAAGTTGTTTCACACTGATATACAGATTTACAGCAATACACACCCTCAAAAAACAAAGGGAGAATTCAGGCAGGCTTGTACATCAAGGCTTCATGAAGAAAAACACCAGTGACGTCCTAATGCTGCCTCATTTCTCCCCTGTAAACCCAGCCTCACACAAGTCAGCTGGCTGGCTACTACGGAGCATGCACAGCTCTTCCTAACAGTTCCTCCTGCACCATCAAAAGGGAGCTCTAAACGCCACATTAAGCCTTCAACTTCGCATTAATTTCTGCACTAATTGGCTGGGGACTCACAAACAGGAAGGATGATGTTACTCTTGAGGAAGAGCTGATTTTCAGTATCACAGCCACACTAAACAAATTTAACTGCTTGCTTTCACAAAGACTTGTCAGATGAGACATTTTCTGCATGTTGTTCTTCCTCAAAGATTACATTGCAAACCTGAGAACGGCTGAACCCGCAGGTGACATCGGCAATGACTGACTTGTCCGTACCAACAAAAACTCCTGAGTTTTCCCTAACCAGCTGAAGTGCGGCGTGTTCCTTGCTCCCGCTGCCGGCTCCAAGGAGCTAGCTATGGCAAGGGACCGCATAACCGCTCTCTCTGAGATACAGCTTTTGTAATTAACCCGACAGACTGATTTCTGCAGAAATCATTCTTTAACCAGGAGTTCCCTACTCCCAGAATGGCCGTTGCTCAGCTAAGCTACTTAAGAGGTTATCTGGGGAATTACTCAAGTGCATTAGATTTTGGTTTCAGCTTTTCAACCACAGCAATGCCTTGAATTTAATTTCATACATCATATTTCTGTGTGATATGGATACATTCACTTGAGTGTCAGAGACTATTGTAATTACTGATTGACTTGAATCTTCCCAAATCCAGCATCTTGCTGGAAAAATACCATCTAAGCAAAAAACCAAAAGTGAATAATGTTGGATTAAATCTGTATTTTATGTCTAATTCACACATTGGTTCAGCACAGCCACCTAAAAGGATTCAAGAAGCAGCTGCAAATCCCATCAGGAATAAACTGCAAAATAAACAGCTAATTGTCTAAAAAAGGAAAGAAAACCCCATTACGCTGTTCTTTCTATCAAGAAGCATTTAGAGATTCCACAGAATAATCAAAGTTTGGGGACTGTTCGGCAGTAGCGTTGAGAGGACGATGGCGTGCTGCCTCGCTCTGACTGGCATAAGAAACCTCTGTACTGTCAGGAGAAAACCCAGGCGCCATTTGTACCACAGTTTCGACAAGCGCCCTTACTTATCTCTCAGGATTCACATGTTTAAATACTCCTAGAGCATTAAAGAATCAACCAGAGAACATGTAATGTAATATAAAAGCACTCTTTCAAGCGCTATGAACAGCTATGGTGTCATTTACTAATCTCTTGGTGATGACCCTGAAATGAAGGCAAGACTGTGCAGCGGAGCAGCTGAAGTGCAGGCTTGGAAGTTCGGCTACGTGACCTCTGTAAAGCCAAAATCCATCAGTCATAGCCCTTGTCCCTTTATAGATAATCAAAGCTTCCAATGCAGGTTAAATGCATTAGCCATAATCCTCAAAGTCAAAGGTTAACAACTGCACTTCAGTAGATGTGACTGTTTGGCGACTATTGGCTGTGGTTTGTTAATTATTTCACGGTGACTGTCGTGGTGTTTATTTTATAAAGGAGTAGATTTATTTAAATAAACAGTTGTTGGAAAAGCAAAGATAGAAGAGGTCGAAAGACACACAATTCAGCAAGCAGGAGGGGAAAACACCCCCACAGACTTGGACAACTACCAGAAACATTTATATTCAAAGAAAACCTAACTTTCTTAAGATTATTATTTTCAAAAACATCAGCATGTTTGCAGCACCATGTATTAGACACCCATATTCTTGGAGATAACAAAAACCCCCCAAAATTACCGCCAGCCTAGTGGGTTACTTTAGGAAAAACAAGCCCTTACACAAGATAAGATGTATTTTTAAAAGCTTTTTCTTCCACATGCTTTGTTCCAACTGTAAAAATTGACCCCTGGCTTTAACCAGCCACACACACCACTTGGCTCAGATGTGGGAGGCAAAGAACTGCACAGTCGATGCAGCTGATCCACTGGCCCCAGGGTCTGATCCAGAAGTGGGAACCACAGAAGTCCACCCCTGGATGACAAAAGGCCTCCCACACAGTATTTAATGGTTTATGTTAAGGTGTCTATCTTCACCTATTTAATTGCACTGTTACTTAAAAGTAACAGAAGAGGTAACACAGCCCTGCTCTTCATACAACCTTCACCTATTCCCTCATAATTCTCCTCCTGCTGAGGCAGGTATAGGTGAACGTATCTCTCTCCCTTTTGACTGGTTTTGAAAGGACCAGCGTATGTAGGAAAACCCAAACAAATTCCAAATAATCCTGAGACAGTACACCTTATATTCATAAAATGCCATTTGAGCAATTTTTTGAGTACATATTTTCCATTAGCTCCCCATTACCAACAGCAGCTTAATTGTATGTCTTAGATCTGAATTTCCTGCGGCTTTAAAAAAATATGTATTACATGAGTTGACAGTGCACTCTAGCCTTCAGTGGTTCATCCAAGTATCTAGTTGTTGACATTTAAAACATCCGGGCTGTCAAAATGGAAACGGATAGTCTAGTGCTTATATAAACTTAATTTCCTTGTTTCCATTAAAAAGTTATTAATTAGAGGCAGTCTCAGCCAGGTTCAAACTCTTCACGCGTAGCCAGCTTCCTCTGATCCTACTCTATGGAGAAGATTTCTTGGTATGTTTATATTCTACTCAGACAAGTAATAATTGATCTATAATTCATCTCACAGCATGCACAGGAGCAGTAATGCCTTCACAAGCCATCTTCCTGCAACATGAACATGCACTGTAAACCACCCAAACTTCACTGGTTCCATTGTCTTGCAGGTTACTAAGCTACCCTGGCCAAATGAAATTAAGAGCTAGTACATAAAAAAGAGACCCATTCGCATCACTAATTACTTTGCCATGTAGTTTAAAGCTTCTGAGTCTTGATGCGTACACTGAATTCTATTAAGGAAAAAGTAAGTTCTGCAGAAAGTCCATGGACACCCACGAAGAGTGCAGAGCACGTACTAAGCAGGACCAGTTGCCCAGCTTATTAGGGTATGTCTCATGTCGTTACGCTCGTCATTACCTGGGGACACAGGGCTTCAAGCTGGCTGGCTGACATGCGAACCAATTTCACACCTTCTTCATTGTTCGAGATAGAACATGCCAAGTTAGCAACCTGTGTCAGAGGTGGGAGAAAACAAAACACAACTGTTACAACTAGGCTTTATTTCCCTTGGCAGGAAATTTTTCACCCACCCCCATCAGTAACCGCCATGAAATACATTTGCATTCATGCAGTCCTAACCAATTTTGAAACCACTAATGACACATAAAATCATAACACATCAGATCACAAAACTATAGTAATTCACGCGACAGACAGATCATTGTTACCACTGATTTGGTTAAGTTCTCTCCAGTAAAAGGTACAAGAGCATCATTGGCAGCACTTGAAGTTACAGTTAAAATGCCCATTCCCACTCAAGCGAGACAGCAGCAATTATACAATTAATTAGAAAAACCAATCCAGCTCCCATGCATCTGAGAATTAAGTCTTCTGATGTCCATAAGCATAGGGATGCTCCCTTTTTCTTGAAGCATTTCTGTATCCTACTGTGTTGCGTGTCAAGACAGAAGAACTTGGAGGCTTCTCAAGCAATTCAACTGTGCAAGCAGAGCAGCGGCACTGCCAAGCTCAGGCTGTTTTGCTGGCATCGCACACGCGCATCTCTGCGATGAGATACTGGTACCTCAATGCGTTGGCTTGAACTACTAATCTATGTACTTCTTATCTCGCCGAAGACTGCAGTATCAGGCAGGTGTTCCTCCAGCCCTCCCCTTGTGCCACGAGGCACCGAATAAAAACATTTGCTGGTACAGGTGATCTCGAAGATCCAGCCACAGTTGTCCAGAAATTAAATAGCATCTCACAATGCTAAAAATTTCACTCCAAAACCTTGACCCGCTACACAGCGGCATCCTTAACTAGGTCATCTTGAAACAGAGGACCTTTTGTAAACACCTGCCTTTCAAGAGCACACAGGAAGGGGACAGCACAGGATTTTTTGATAATTGAAGATATTCCTCATATCGGAGCTACTCTCAGGGGAAGGAGGGCTGAAGTGAGTTACATTTCTTAGTTGACAGGTGAATGACAAGCATGTATATTCTGAGCCATTTGAACACAGAAAGCTGTAAAAATAGCACAAACTGAGACGAACACTGAGTGCTGTCCTTTCAGAAACAGAGCAACCTGCAACAGAACTCCAGTCAACGTGCTGTAAAAGCATCGGTACAACCAGCAGATGCTCAGTAACACCAGCGAACCACATTTCTCCACGTACCTTCCTCTCTAAGCTGGGGAAATTCCATTCTCCCTTTAATTAAACTACCCTGTGCATTAGTATACAAGTCATTTTGAAGTGGTATCTGCAGCTATAACGCGTGCTTTTCACCCTCCCCGAGCCATTCCCTTACGACAGATGTTCCACACAGAATACATTACTGTCCCACAAACCGGCACCCGCCTGCCAATATACTTGCGCGGTGTTTTTCACCAATCCCAATTATTAACTTTGGGCCCCAAAACCACATTCCCATTGCAAAGCGCACAGCCTCTTCCTCTCTCCACTTCCAAAATCAAGTTACAAAGGATAAAAAGCCCAGGCCAAGAAGAGCTTTGTTTCCAACACTGAACACCCAAGTAAACAGATGCAACGGCATACATTTGGATGAAAACGAACTGAAGTTGAGAGAAAGACTATGCAGCAGTAACAAGCCACTGGAAACTCCCCCAGCTTTCAGGAATATTAGTGTCCTACTCCTCAACTTTCTTTTCCACCAGTGTTCGGAGACAAGACTTACTGCAACTCCTCCTCTTAACCTGTAAATCTTCAGTGGGTTGCGAGGTCGTGCAGCCCGCGCCCAGCTTAGCCAAGGCTCTCTGTCCCTCCTTTCTGTCACCACGCTCGCTGGTGTCCAGCACGGCTCCTCGCCGCACAGCACTGCCACCCAACACCTGTACTCCCGGTAACGCCCCAGCGAAAGGGATGTGACTTAGAACACAGCGGCTTTTTCCTGTGGGTTTTGCTGTGTCTCAGATCCCTAGTTCACAGCAAGCTGCAGTATATTATGCTTCTGTTTAGAGGCTCGAAAAAATCAGAAGACAGTAAGATGCCATGATTTAAAAGTCAGATAAAGATTTTGCTGTTGTTTTAAGCACAGGTCATATTTTTGAGAAACACCAGTTTGCCAATATTTTTTATGGTCCATATTTTGATGTCGTTTCTGCCTCCGCGGCAGTAGTTACAATCTCTAGGAGCTGGAAGAACACAAAGCTCTATTGAGTAGGGGCTGAATAAAAGCGACATTGAAGCACTACAGAATCAGCCTCTCCGATATCTGGAGATGTTGTGCTCTCTCTCAAGCCAAGTGTGATGAATCAAGCGCACAGAAACCCCGCTCTGTCTGAATACAGAGAGGCAAAGAAGTTCATAATTGAGTGTCCCCGCCATGGTACGATGAAATTTTGCTTTTTTGCACAGTCATTTTTGAACAGTCATTTTTCTCCTGAATACCTCACTGATGGCAATTCTTCTTTAGAAATTGCCCGACTGGGCCTGCCAACCTTTATGAAAGAAGTGTGTGTGCTTCCCTGACTGAGGGTCTTTGGCAGTTTAAGACAATCCAACCGTTGGCTGCCGCATCCCATCCCACTGCCGCGTCTCCAAATCTCAACACTTCATTTCAGCACGCTCATCCAAAAGGAAGCTATTTGCTTCAGTGGGTTAGTTTCTCTGCCAGTTGAGCACACAAACTTCCCAGCAAACTATCTGCTGAACATCAGAGCAAAGCAGGGATGCGGCAGCAGCGGAGACGACTTCCGAGTGCTGCAGGACACGGCCCTAAATTCACAGCAAACCAGCGTTTACTGCTCCCGTGGGAAGGCTCTGTCAGACTATTGGAAAACACTCACAAACCTCTTAAAATCTGAAATCCAAGAGGAGCTGTGTCAACTAATTAATCAAGCTGTAAATGACATTACAATGAAGTATTTTAAATTGTCATTAATTACCAGGTGCTCTATAGCACGAATTCTGAAGTTGCGAGAACCAGCTGAGGCAGATGGTTAATATGATTATGAAATCTAATTTTAAAGGTATCTGAAAGAACCCATCATCAATAACTCCTGTCTGTAGAGGACAGGGTACTGCTGGCAGTCACTTGATAGGTATACATATTACATAGGATTTTGCAGCCAAGACAAAGTTCAACTATGGCCAAATTTGGTTTAAAGCATGCAGAGCACTTGGAAACCATACTTCTTGAAAACTTTCAAATAATTTGCTTGAGCACCTCAAGCAAACAAAAATTCCCCTTAAATCAAATGCAAATCCGACACTTTCTCCACGACTCCAACGACGTAGCTGACTGACACAGTAAGTGGTCAGACTTGATTTAGAAAGAACACTTGTGCTCGAGAGGAAAACAGCAATTGAATTCCCGCTGCATTTGTTCATTCTTACCATTCAATATCATCAAGCCCCTTTACATAAGCACTACTGGCACAGGCACCAAAGGAGACCAAAAATCGCAAATAATGTAATCAGCCATAACGAGCCACCTCTTGAAATAAGTTAAAAATACACAGGGAATGAAGAGAGACCAGAGAAACGAGACTGAAGCTGTTCAGAGACCCCTCGCAGCACTGACAGACCATTTAAAACCATCTTTTGGCTGCAGTCTCAAGGCTCTCCGTTCGGAGCATGCAACACTGGCCCAGAGAGGGCTTTGTGTGTCCCAAAAGGCAGATGGACCCAAAGCAGCTGCCGAGGGTTAGATAAATGAGCATAAAGTTCCCCGCCGTGACAAATGCACCGAGCGGCAGGGGAAGTGCACAGGAACAACCATTTCTACAAACTGAGCTCATGAGCTGGTGCCAAGTAAAACTCAAAGGTGGACAAACTCATCTGGTTTTGTGCACTGATCCGTTTTGGAAACTCAAACCTGTGTGGTAGCAACGATGAGAGTCCCGCAAGGTGAGACGATGCCTTCGGAGGAGGCATTACTTACCTGGTTCCTGCAGGAGGTAGGCACCATCGCAGTGCAAAGGGCCAATCGGAAAGCGCTAGTAGCAGGAAGGTATAATTCCAGTATGAAAAAACATATTGCACCATCTGTCACAGAGCAATTCCATCTCCACTTCTAGTTATTCTGATTCTTCAGCATCTACTAGTTTTAAATCAGGGAAAAATCTTGACATTTCTAAAGCGGCTTTTCCTCCATTAGAGACAATTTGCCAGCCTATGTTTGTGTTGTCAGCTGCTGCACACAACTGCCTTCTCTGACAATAGCCAGTCTTCACCCTTCTCATCTGAAATAAACTTTGGATTTTATTTTTTTTTTAAACTTGAAATTTGTTCACATAATAAATAAGGAGCCGCGTCTTCCAGCAATTCAAAGACTACAACCACCTCAACTACACAAGCCTGGGGTCATCATTAAGCTTCTTAAATCACACTGTCGAAAATAATCAAGAAATACCGCTACAGCTTTGTACTTGTTAAACTTTCCCTTTGCACTGACATCCCAGCTTCGGCAGAGGGGTTACTTTACATGGAACTGTTTATTAAAGGGCTGACAAACTGCTTTTTAAATAAGAGAAAAAAGCAACTCCAATCCCCTTAAACTTACTTTTTCAAGGATTTCAAAGGCTGACACTGAAAGTTTGTATTAAAGCCCTTGCTCTGTGCACCTGGACTGACTTCAGAGGAGCAACGCCAAGTTTCTTCTCCTCGTTCACAGGTCCTGTTTTTAGGACAGCTTCTTCAGTCAACTATGCAAAGCCCTCCTAAATGGGTGCTGGAGGCAATCATCCAGCAGTGCCGTAATCCAAAGGCGGCTCTGTAATGTGTTTATTGTTACATAATTTAAATTTGTCAGAGCTGCCTCTGCCACGCAGCATTGTTATAAATAAGGATTATATATCGCCATGCGGGAGATAAACATACGCTAATTGAATTCTAAGAGCCTGACTATGCTCATTTGAAACTGTGGTCACAAAGGCAGCATCGCAGAGGTAAGAGTTTTCAGAGGGTCTTCTGATTGAAAAACCTTGTAGTTTAACATTAACCAGTATCCTCGCATAACTGAGAGGAAAGGCCACGGAGATGCTCA